TGAACTTCTGTCGTGACAGCTGCTATCTCCAAACAGAAACCACCCCAAAAATGGAACACAACACTACATAATCTAAAAAATAATAGATATCCGCCCCCCCCCCCCCCCCCCCCGCAGTGATTTAAAGGTTATAATCTCATCTGAGAGCTCAACCAGCCATAAAATAACTTTCCCGCCTCATGCTCATTGGTCTCTGTCCCCATACAAATCTCTTTGGTTTACAAGTCATTTATTTGCAAGGGATTTAATGCATGTCATAGCAGCTGACCATGGGAACCTCTAAATCAGACAGCCGCTCCATGATCACTTGAGTTATCCATTTTTCTATAAATGCCTCATTTGAGAACCTCAATTAAAAGACCCAAAGGTAAACTCTCCTGGAGGTCTATTACAGTAGACTTATGCCAAACTGGAAACACTAGGCTATGCAAATACTTGCCTGACCAAACCACAACCACCCTCTTCCCCTTCGCACCAACCACAGTCTCACACTTTGGAGCAGTTGAATTGTGGTTCATTTCTCCATCGCTGTGTGAATCAAATACTGTTAAATTTTTTGTAAAAAACACAGAAATATTTTAATAACACAGAATCTGATTGGTCTTGGCTGTGGTTCCCTCTCTTCTTCCCTTCCTCCCATGACCAGTTGAGTGGCTCACCGACCCTGGCCATTGAAGCTCACGTGCTAAAAGTTGCCAGAGAGTACTTTTGGAACAACAGTAGGCCAGAAAGAAAAAAATGATATAAAAAGCCTTTAGGAGACGAGAGTATTGCAAGAGGAAAAAAATAATGGTAAAAATATTGTGAACAACATAAATGCAACTTTAAATTACTCTTTTAAAATGTCACTGCATTTATCAAGCAGATCTGCACTAGAAGTGACTTGAAATTACTTCTGTTTATTCCATACTACAGTACCTCATTTCACTGTAACGTGGATTAAGATTGTGCCAAAGATGCTCAGTGCTGCACTCTGCATCAGCATTAACACATTCCAATGGTGTAGACGCAATTTAGCTGACTGAATTCTAAATAGTTCAATGAAATCAGTATCAGATCGCCTTGAGCCTGCCCCTCAAACAGGATATAATACTATTGTTTCTTTTCATAGTTAACATTGCACATTCAAAAAGGCTGGGACTACAGTAGTCCATTTATCCTTTGGAGCCAGAAATGACTTTGTAACCTTTAAAGAAAGTGAGATTAGGATTTTTCTCACTCTTTAGCATTTTAATTCTTCATGGTTTAATGGAGGAGTGAGACATGTGATTTTTTAAAATTACAAGTATGAGCTCTGTGGAAGGCTATGATTAGATTACACATAACGTTGAGGCACTGAATATTTTAATGAATGTTTCAGTCTGAGAAGAAAACATAAGAGCTTTTTCTTTTGTCAGGCATGTGAATTTCCGAATGTGCTAGTGACAGACATATCCCTCAAACCAATGAAAGTGGTTTTTTTTGTTCCATCTGGTCACATCTAAAGTTTTAGGCAGAGAATATGCAATTGCAGAGAATTAATCTTAATATTCTTACTATTTATCCTTCAACAGTTTGGATTCTAAATTGGATTGGGACTCCAAAGATTTCTTTAAGTATTCTGACCAAAGCAATGAACAGACATCGCCAAAATCGTAGGGAGTTCATTAAACACGACAGAGGTTCTGCGGGTGTGTGCCTTTTCTACCATCTCCATTGTATCTGCGCATTTCATACCAAATCAAAGACAGGAGAACAAATCTCAGTTCCTTCAATATTTCATTCTTTCTGTGAAATGAGCTCAAGTGATATAGGCACTTGAAACCCGATCATAAAGTTGGAAAAGACTTCCTTTCACTCAGATCCATTTGTTTGGATACCCAGGTGTCTGGCAAATGCAAAAAGCAGTTTTAAGAGTGCAAGCTAGAGTTCCACACACGAACCCCACCTACGCATGGAAATTCCCGTGGCCATAATGGAATATGCACTTGCTCCGTGTAGGGACGCACCCTGCTTACCTATAAGTATTAGGCGCAGATTGGCAAGAGCGAAGGCTTGGGGACCCCAAATGTGCTGAGGTCCTGATGGTGTCTAACCAGCTCAAACCACATCGCAGCTCAATGGCTCAAACCATTGAGAGGACTATCTGGAAGCTTCCCACTGATTGTCCAGTTAGAACCATCCTGCCTATTAGGGCTTTCACTTATAGGGTTAACAAGAGCCAAGTGGAGGGGAAAAAGCTCTAATTTTATGTCATGTTTTCAGATAGGTGTAAGTTAACACCCATTGTCGCCATCCTCCAGCTCAAGGTGTGTTGCTTAGGGAGTAACAAGGTGACAAATATGGGGGGAAAAATCTTGATTATTTTTTCCTTTTCGAGCTCTCAATACTCCTCTGAGGCTGCTTTGCCAAATCAGTAGATGATGAAGAGATTTCACCAATTCAAAATGCATTAACTAAAGCTAATTAACCACCAAATCACTGCACTTGCGTCCATTTTAACTACAGGGAAATAAAATAAACTGGGCAAGACTGTTATCGGTTGCAGTTCATTAAAAAGTGCAACCAGAATATCATCAGTTTCTTGTGCAGGAACTGGCAAAAACCTTATTACCAGGCCTAGTTGCAACTAATTGATCACTCATTTTCATGTCTAATGGAATCAGACTCTGGTGCTTGTGTTTTAGATATAAAAAGAACAAGGCTGTGTGACATGTTGAATAAAGGAAACTCTTGGCCAGTTACAGTAAGATCTTAACATTATACACATAAACTCCATTGCACACTACTCCTTGCAATACTTTAGTTTTGGTCATACAAATGGACAATATAGCTGGAATCATAGTTTAGCTCATAAGAAGGCCATTCAGCCCATTATGACCATTGCTGGTTCTAGCTACCCCATTGGAGCCATCAACTCTCACCCTCTTCACCTGCTCTTTCACACATCCTTTAACATTATGTATTTGTCAAGATTTTCCTCATTGCGTTTTGTTTTTGTAAACCTTTATTTTACATTTACAATTGCACAATAACCCTTGCATTTGATATAATGCCTTACCACGTCTCAAAGCGCTTCACAGAATATACTGTAAAGTGGATTGACTGAGTATTTTGTGGGCGAAACGTGGCAGCCAATTGCTCACAGCAGCGTTCCACAAACAGTGGATTGAGTGACCAAATTGCAGTAGGACAGGATTTGATTAATAAACATCTATAGATCATATAGATCACCCATTATCCACTCCACATCCCAACCCCCTCAGTACAGCTCTCTCTGCTCTGCCTGCAACGGCATTGTAAAAATGCTCCTCAAGAAAGGTTTTTACAAAACTCTTCTCACTAATTTCTCAGCAGATTTTTGCAGTCACCAGTCACACAATTGCACCTCTGAAAATAAATATGCAGATAACTGTTCTGAAATTTCATTCCAATATACATTACTTAAAATAGCTGAGGTAAATATTGAAAAATTAATTTAGCCTACACAGATCTAATAAGGTGCCAAAAAGTGCTATGTTGCAGAAGATTAATAACAACCCTTGTATTTGATGTAGTGTCTTAGCATGTTGTTGAAACATCTGAAAAGGATTTCCTCTAAAGTGGTGTGACTGTATTTTGTGGCAAAACAGCAGTCACTATGAACACAGCAATATCACACAAACAGCCATGGAGTGAATGACCAATTTTATTTGGAGGATTGGCGGCCAGGACACTGGGAAAAAGACCCTCCTCTTTACGAATAGTGCCATGGGATCTTTAAAATCCACCAGGAAAGGCAAACAGGACGTTGGTTTAATGTCTCATCTGAAGGGCAGCATCTCCAACAATGTAGCATTTGATTAGGAGAATGTTGGCCAGAATATATGGGATACAAGTCCCGATGTGGGGCAGATGTACAGAGTATATAACACACTATCGTGCAATGGGCAGATCATTAACAGACACCATATGGGCTACTTTATTTCAATAAGTTGCCAATGTGAAGAAGTGCATTATTGCATTATTCAGGAGCTGGAGGCATTTTATCCTAGACTACGCCAACACTCTGCTCCGCCAACACAGACTACCCAACTCTTCCCTTCACAAGCTGCAGACTATGCAGAACTGCAGTTCATGTCCTTTCCACACTAGGCTCAGTGAGCCTATCACTCCCATCCTTGCCCGGCTCTATCACCCAGCAGATCGAGTTCAAGACCCACATCCTAACATTTAAATCCCTCCATGGTCTTGCCCCATCCTACCTCTGTCACCTCCTCAAACCCTACCAACCCGGCCACTCCCTCTGCTTGGTGGGCGCTGGCCTCCTTCGCGTCCCCTGCCTTACCTGCCCCATTCTTGGCAGTCGGGCTTTCAGCCTCTCTGTTCCCATTCTCTGGATCTCCACCCTGGAGTCCCTATGTCTTGCCACTGCCCTCGTCTCCTTAAAAGTCCCCCTCAAGACCTTCCTCTTTGACCACACCTTCAGTCATTTTCCCTTCCCCAGGGCCCCATCCCTCCCAAATCCAACCCCCAGCTCGGGTGCAAATCCTTGATCATATTCAAGACTGAGATAGATAGATTTCTTATTGCAAAAGGTATTAAGGGATACGGGGATAAGGCAGTGTCAGGTTATTAGCTGGAGTTAGATTAAAAGATCAGCCATGATTGAATGGCGGGGCAGGCTCGAAGGGCCGAATGGCCTACTCCTGCTCCTACATGTTATGTTATGTTAAATCCTGGACTGTACAGCGCCTTGGGATCGATCGCCTCCTGAGATGAAAGACGCTTTAAAAATTTGTTGTTGTTGTTTATTTAATTTCAATTCATCAAAAGGTGGAATCTTTCCCATCTCCTTGAGAAATGAGTCAGAAAGATTAGAACTAACCATTAGGTTTAATGTTCACAGTGATAATGGTCACTCCAATTCAGAGCATATCGTGTGATTTGCCCTCCTGACGTGAAAGGAGCTATATCAAAGGTAAGGATTATTATTATAATAATACGGATTAGTATTATTTAATGGAACAGAACATACTCACAATGCATTCCTGATCTGAAGAGTTTCTTTTTGAGAGGTTACAGTCTTGTCTTTTGTAGTCATATTTATGAGCTTGCATTTTATATTCTGCACACATGAAGAAATCCACATTAGACAAAGAAACAGAAGAAATCCACATTAGACAAGTCATGCATAAATACTTTGAGTGGTTACACAAATTCAACAATATTTGATCATTTGTGGGACATTGCTATACAATCTTTGAGGTGTCTACCTGACATGAAAGGCACTAAATCAAACACAAGAATTACTTCATTATTATTATAATAACGTAATCTTTAAAGTTAAGGAAAAAACTATGGAATTTCACATGGATATATTTCAGTAAAAAATAAACAACAACTTGCTCTCTTCACATCAGAAAATGTCTCTATAGAACACAGTTGTATTGTGCTGCAATGTGCTGAATTGTAACAAAAATATGGAAAAAAAGGACCGCTATTAAAACAGGAGTCCACTGTCCTCACTTGGATGTTACTTATAAAACATCCATCTACCAAAAATAGATACTAACTGACAATATATACAGTGCATGCTGCTCTCATCAAGCACTCAGGGAAAGAAAACTCATCACCGCGGTTCAAATCACACAACTTGATTGCACGAGCTGTCCACCTATCAGTCTGACAGGACACGCACTGTCAGTGGTAGAAAAAAAAGTGTTAAATCTACGTGAACATTATAAAGAATACTACAGGTTTGAATCTGATCCAAAGGTAAAAATTTCTTCAGGTTGATACTTCCATTGCTTTCAAGTCAAAGCAGTAGGACAAGAGGACATTGCTGTGGGTCCTCCTGACGTGAAAAGCGCTATATCAAATGCAAGGATTATTATTATTATTATTTGGGGTTATGAAGGACACGTTTCAGTTAAAGGCCAGGAAGTATTTCTTTATCCAGAGGATAATCCACAGCTGTAATGGGTTACCAGGACACAAACTCATTTAAGATGAAGCTTCTTGTTGTAAGGGGAAAAATATGATGGTTGGTATTCTGAATGGATTATATTAATTAATCTAATTTCCCTTTTCTTAACTTGATCTCCCCTGTAATAAAGGCAGGTTTAAAATTAACTTTTGCTGAGGCTGAAGACCATGTCTTTTCGCCCATCATTTTGGCCAGTCCACAATACCGAGCGGTAAATTGTAAACAACAACAGCAACAAGATTACATTTGTATAGTGTCTTTCACGTCGAGAATATATATAGAAAAGGTAGACATATTTCCACTGACAGTGTGACCACACCACACCCATCATCTGAAAACTGGAAAGGAGATAAGAATACTCATTATGCTCTTTTAGGGGCTTGGTGACTGCTAGAACTCCCTGCTGCCACATACCTGCAGCTGCTCATCAATATAAGGTACTTTCAGGATTTCTGCAGCTGAAGGTCTCTGTGAGGGATCCTTCTCCAACATGCTGAGGATAAGAAAAAGAAAACCATTGGGAAAACCATGTGCATAAGCCAAGATGTGGACAAGCCTACAGGGCACTGCTTTCAGTTGGAGGCAAACCTACCTCTGCATGATTGTATTGAGCTTGCTTGACCACCTGCTGGGCAGCAAAGGAGTCTCTTCATCTACTATTTTCAAGATAACCGACATGAAGTTGTGCCCAGTGAATGCGTGATCCAAGCAGCACATTTCATACAAAATGCACGCCAGAGACCTATACAATGGGGAGCAAAAAATAGCAGAGATTTATATAGCGCCCCTCACACAGGGTGTGTCCCAGATTTATACAGCACCTTTGACATCAGGAGGATGCCCCTTAGGCTCTCAACAATACTGACTTGGCACCCGAGCTAGGGATAGGGAAGATAAAGATGACCGGAAGGACAGTCAAAGAGGTAAATGCGATGAATAGCTTTTCAAACTCCGTTTTAGATTCTTTTGAAAGGAAAATGGACAGAAAGTTGATCTTCATGATTCAACTGCCTTTCCCTTAGCTTTGTTTTGTGCACACAAAACTGACAATGACATCAAGGTTCGCTGTCATTTAGCTGCCGTCCTTCCTCACTGGGAACGAGAGTGATGGCAGTGTGCTGCAACTGAAGGGAAATGTTATGGCTGGAATACATGAATTTTTCTTAACTCAGAATTGCTTGGAATGACAGCTCACGCAGTCAATGAAGCTCGTGTGCAGTAACCAGTCTATCACACACCAGGTGAGGTTCAGCAAATAAGCAGGTTTTATACATGAACTCCACCCTCCTAATAAGAGGTTTCTGAGGAGCCTAGAAGTTTCCACAATGCAATGCAATCTGGTGCACTTTAAGAGAAAGGCAATGTTGGATAATGTTAAAGTCTCGCAATTTAAAGTGATGGGGAGATGTGGTACTGCAACAGACCATTCGGCCGAACTAGTTTAGGACAATGTTTATATACTCCACGTGAGCTCCCACTCCTCCCATTCCCCCCACTTTTACCCCTCTACTTCTGTCTATCCCATGCAGGCATTAAGTTTTCTCTTATAATAAATATAATAATAATAAACCTTGCATTTGATATAGTGCCTTATCATGTCTTCAAAGTCCTCACACATACCTTGAATCCTTCTACACCTTAGCACCTCCGTATCTCTCTGATCCACCCCTCTGCTTACCGTCCTCAGCTCTGCAAACTTGGGCTGGCTGTGCATTCTCCTCCTTCTCTGTACCACCATCAGTGGCCGAACCTTAGGATACTATGCCCCTAACCTCCAGGCTATCCCCATCTCTCTACCCTTCCATCTTCTCCCGCGTGTGCCTTTAAATCCCACCTCAAAATCTGCCTGTTCGAACCCATCTTTCCCCCTCACCCTCTCCCCTTAGCGTCTGACACTGTCCCTGTAAAGCGCTCCAAGACTTCACCCCACATGAAGAGAAAGTTATTGTAGTTGATGGGTTGTAGTAGATAATAGTATAATATAATAATAACATAATAATAGTATAAAGGCAAGTTGTTGCAGTAGACTTATATGCAGGTTTTACTGTATTAAATACAAGTTGTTGTTATTTTATTATGATTTAGTCTCAGAGCAAATTTATCCCTTGAATGTGTCAATAGTTACTAGCCAGTACAGCAGCAGGGAGAGCTCTCGACAGTTTCCTCACTGAAAGGTTTATGATACAAGATGAAGAACTGACTACTTAATCACTTCATATTAGCACATAAATAAGTCCTGCCAAGACTGCTGAACCAAGCAGCCTCTGCAATGAAGGCATCACAGCTAAACAGAACAAAACTTGATCCAATGTACACATTTTTCTCAATGCTATTGCATTATTTTATTGCCATGACTTACTCATGTAAATCATATTTAATTCCTTATCAAATTGATTTACTGCTCATTAGTTTAGGTGCTGTATCAAGAATATGCTTTAAAAAACAACCTCATACCACTCTCAGTCACAACAGATTTGATTATGGTCTCCTACTTTTTGGCACAGCATAGTAGAGGCTACACACACTCAATCAGCCTGGGAAGCCCACATGGAACCAGCACAACAGGAATATAAAATATTCGAGGTTGGAGAAAGGTTGAAAAATGAAAGCACCTGCTCTGCCAGTTTGACTTATCCAGTTATAATAAAATAATAATAAACTTTGCATTTGATATTGCGCCTTATCAAACATCATGACCATCTCAAAGTACTTAAACCAGTGCAGGCTCCAACATGATATCCCCATGCACACATTGGGATTATTACACATGTTCCTTCATGCAGCAAACACATTCACATAGCGAATTCCTTGCAGACGATACTAGATGAAATCAGCTCTTTTGAATTTTGTTCTGATTTGATTTTTGTCAAGCGACATTACACAACTTGTCAAGTGTGAATCATTCATTGCATATGGCCCAGGGTACTGACACTCTAATAAACCCGGGATTGCTTTCCCACAACCATTTGGAGCGCTCCTTCAAAACGCAACAACAAAGAACCTTGCTCTGACACAGTGAGACTGGGTGGCCTTTGAAATCCTCATTGCATTACCATGATGGTCACTAGCAGCAAACCAAAAATATAATTCAGAAATGCAGTGAAATTTGGTCCACAAGCTTCAAAGGATACAACACTTATAAAGACGGATATGAAGGAATGATTTAATGTATACAGAGTCCTGTAGCTCAGTGATTAGAGCACTCGCCCGCAAATGAGAGACTTGGGTTCTATTCACGGCAGGGCAAGATTCCTACTCCACACGCCTCTGTTTACTTAGTTTAAGTAGGAACCCAGTTGTTAGTCGATTGGCAGATCGCTTTTATGGGGATAATAATCCTTCAAAAAAAAAGAATTTGGTCACTCAATCCGCACTGTTTTTGGGACACTGCTGTGCACAATTGCCTGCCGCATTTTTCCCACAAATATAGTCAATTCACTTTACGGTATATTCTGTGAAGCGCTTTGTGAGGCTCTAGAAGACGTGAAAAGTGGTATATCAAATGCAAGGTTTATTATTATTATTATGCATTCTTAGGTTTTGCCCCCGGGGTTCCTGGTATCACATAACCCCTTACTGCTATCCTGGGTATTTCCAATTTGCCACATTCTTTTTAAGGACAGGTAATGATATATAAAGCTGTTCAGCAGACAGTGAAGGGGCTGAAATTCGGAGCTGAAATTTATGTTCCCTCAATCTTAACATTAATTATTTAATTACCCCTCACTTTGATCTTTGTTATTGTTGTGCAGGCACAGGGCAATTGCTGATCTTATTCCCCAGCATTCCAAGAGGAAATTTTTCTTACTTGTATTTTTTTAATTACATGCATGAAACTCAAGAGTGGTCACAAGTAATCGGAACTTGAAACAGTGAAGTTTACGAGCAATCAATGGATTCAAAATGAGTTTTTACATTCGCATACAGATAAGTAGCAGTTAGACAGAATGCAGCAAAGATTCAAGTTTACCAAACTAAACACATCGGCCAGAAGGACATAAGCTTCCTAAACTTCAGAATCACCAATGAGAGGACGCTTATCGCATTACCAAGCATAATGCAACCATTTATATGTGAACAACAACACTTTCACATCTATCTCATTTTCTTTAATAAGGCGGTAAATCAAATCCAATGGACATTGTTCTAAATCAATCACAGAAGATTGATCTTCATATGCTTAATGCTATCATTTGTCTTTAAGTGTGGACTTCAATCTTCTGGATAGTATGCCATACAGGTGTAACCGGATCCTAAGAATGAAACCCTCAGCTTCACTCATTATATCTTGTAAAGAGTGAAGCCAGTGCATATATCATAAGCATCACACTAAAGTGTAGAAAGAGTTGCATTTTTACAGCACTGTATTACTTTGCAGTAATTACCACCAGGTTGGGATGCTTTTGTATCCAAACCCATGCAGCCACTTTTTTTCTCTCAGAGAGAGGTCTCATAAAGAGAATCTACTTTTTTTTCTCTCTAGAAAATTCCTGACTAGGAGAAAATCCCTTCTCTTTTCAAATAGTGTCATAGGATCTTTAATGTCCAACCAAGAGCATACAGATATTGATTTAACATTTCATGCAAAAGATAGCACTTCGAGACAACGCAGCGCTCCTCCAGTGCTGGAGTAGAGTATCAGTCTAGAGTAGACTATCATGTCTGCATGTTGGCAAAAAGAGTGCATTTCAAACACTGGATATGAAAACAATAAAACAAAGTAGTTACAATAGGTTAGGGTTGCGTGAGGCATTAAACGGATCCTGTGTAGGATCACTCCATCGATCACGCCATCCTCCTCCACCGCCTTTCCTCCGTCATCCACCTCAGTGGGACCACACTCGCCTGGTTTGAGTCCTACCTCACAAACCGCCAGCAGTACAAACTGCTTCTCCTCCCGCTCTCACCTGGTTACCTGCGGGATACCCCAAGGATCCATCCTTGGTCCCCTCCTTTTTCTGATCTACATGCTCCCTCTTGGGGATGTCATCCGTAGACATGCGGTACACTTCCACATGTATGCGGACGACACCCAACTCTATTTTTCACCTCACTTTGCAACCCCCAGTCCCCTGATGTCCTGTCAGCCTGCCTGTCAGACCTCAGGGGCAAATTTCCTTCAGCTGAATGTTGACAAGACGGAAGCCATACTCTTTGGCTCTCATCAATGTCTAAAATCTCACGGTTCTCACCTCCTCCACCTACCCAACCTCCCCCTAAAATTCTCTGAACCCGTACGCAACCTAGGCGTCAGGTTCAACCCCCAATTATCCTTCTTCCCCCACATCCAGTCCCTCACCAGCACCACTTTCTTCCACCTCTGATGCATCGCCTGCCAATACCTCTCTTCAAAAGTTGCTGAAACCCTAGTCCATGCCTTTATCACCTCTCAGCTAGACTATTCAAACGCCCTCCTCGCCGGTCTCCCCTCCACTACCATCCAGAAAATCCAGATTATTCAAAACTGCCGCCAGCATTCTCACCCGCACCAAACTCCGCTGCTCGATTACCCCAATCCTTGCCAGACTGCACTGACTGCCTGTCCCAGAGAGGATCCTCACACTTGTTTTCAAATCCCTCCACTCCTCTGCACCCCCCTACCTCTCTGATCTCCTCTCTCCTCAAAACAGTGCCGGTTGCCTTTGTTCCTCCGGGTCTGGCCTCCTCCTCGTCCCCCGAGTCCTCCGCTCCACCCTCGGCGGCCGTGCCTTCAGCCACTATGCCCCGAGGCTCTGGAACTCC